AGTGATAATATCCTAAAATTGTTTAACATGGATGCAGTAAGATTTCTCACTGCAGCTTGGTCTACGTGTTTTCCGACGACTTCTGTTATTTTTATCACTATGTTTTCAACAAGCAAGTTTTTAGACCGGAGATTTTTGATTGAAAATAAGGTAACTTTTTCGATATAATATCAAAATAAGGAGGAAAAAACAAATACTTTCTATGAAAAAAAAATAGAACGTGTTTGGGTCATAGAAAGGTAAGTTTTCACCAAATTTCGTAGCAAACAAGTTGTTTTTGTGGGAGAATAATAAATAACTAAAAGGACGGTTAATTTAATTTTTTGCAGAATTTTTTAGGTAAAATAAGTATAAATACAAAAGTTGTGCATCTTTCTTCTTTTATTATTATCAACAATATTTCCAGTAACTGTTTTTCTATAGGAGCTGTAGTTTTCCCTAAAATCGTGATAAACCGTTTTCCCTCTTAAAAGGTCAACCCCACTACGCTTCCTGACCTCAAATCGCCCGTAAATTATTTTTCGTCTTTGTTTGTATGTTCTCTTGTTCTGAAATGGGTTTCAAACTGTTCGGAAATGAGTTTCAAACAGTTCGGATTTTTTTGTTCTCAAAAATTATCGGCGCTGGCTTAAACGTATATGATGTATAAATGAGTGACCAAACAAACATATTTCATGTATAATACTTACAAATATACTTTATGAAACTAAACGTTTACGTAACTTCTTACATTGTTTTAATATCAAGGCGACTCCAGAACTCCTTTAGTCCATTTCGTAGTGACTTAAAGAATCGATATAAAAACGAAGTAACTCGCTGGTTAATGACTGGTAAAAATACTTCATATTGTGGGTCATAAGATTGATTTCACATTTTCATTTTTCACCTTTATCGTTTTTTTTCAAGTATCAGATATAATTTATCGTATTGTTCATTTTATAAAATAAAAGGTCGTATGTACAAAATAACATTTTGTTATTTGTAACTTTATTCCTTTGTGACATGGTTGTTATTAAGTTCAACTTAAACTGTTTAAAACTTTTGTCTTTGTTCATTGGGAATCGAATGGTAGCTGCATAAGTATATAATCTATAGTTCATCAGTTTTGTCAAGTACAAACTTCTTGAGACGTGTAGGTATCTATAATATAATATTAAAAAGAGGTAAAGTTTGTGAGGTTGCCTACAACCCCCCTAGGGATATTCTCTGGATCTACTGAACCGATTTTGAAAATTTTCGTACCAATAAAAAGTCACGTTATTTGTGACTGTCATAGGTTATAACGAGCAATTTTTGTGTATGTAATGTTAATATATATGTATATTAACCCGAAAAATTTCTCGTTTTGCCAAAACCAGCTTGTTCTACCGTACTTTCAGAAACCGCACTTGATAGTCTAATCTTTTTAATTTTGGTGCATAGCGTAGATGGTTATTGGGCATAGAATCAGAAGAACGTAATCATCACGCCCAAGCAGAGTCGGCTCAGAATGAAACATCATTTCTGTCACGCACATATTGATGTTACTTTTACTCATAAAAGTCAGTTTAAGAGAGGTAGTGCTTAACGGATTTCCGCTCGAATTGGAGCGCCTATCTGGTTAAGTAACTTCCACCTTACAGAAGGTCACAGTAAAATAGCACTATGTTTTGATGGTTTTGAATTGCTATCGGTGAGTAAGGTTTCAGGGCTCCGCAAAGTAGGGGATGGGGTCAGTGTAAGCAACGGCGCGAGTGATAATGTTGGTATCGCAAGCTTCTATAGGCCGTTTCAAGCAGTGATTATCTGCGACTGACATGACATTGTTTTCAAAAGTATAGATTATTTATTATTGGAACGAAAGTTCCTTACGGCAGGCTTGGAGGGGATAGGGATTTTGCTGCGCGACCGAACTGAAAAAAATGTGATAGTAAAACCGTAAGAAAAAATGCGTGGAATAAAACCGTTAAATGAGACGTGCGCAGGCGCGACGAAGTTCCTTACGGCAGGAGAGAGAGCGACGAGGGTGCATCACTGAAATATTATGATATTACATCAACACTGAATATGTGTGAAGTTATAGGGAGTGGTAGAGCGACGAGGGTGCATCACTGAAATATTATTATATTACACCAACACTGAATATGTGTGAAGTTATAGGGGGTGGTAGAGCGACGAGGGTGCATCACTGAAATATTGTGATATTACACCAACACTGGATATTTGTGAAGTTATATCAAGCTGTGGAACAGTAACGCCTGTGAGACATGATTATGATTACAAGGTGCGTACTTATCAGGAGGTGGCAGAGCGACGGGGGTGCATCACTGGATTATTGTGACATTGTAGTTTATTCTAAACTGTGGGCCAGTCCTGCCTAGCATCCTTTACGAACGCTAGCGGGTCATGATAATAAGGTGCGTACATGTAGGGGGTGGTACAGCTACGAGGGTGCAGCACTGGAATATTGTGACATTACACGAAATCTGGATATTTGTGACGTTATACCGAGCTATGGACCAGGAACGCCTGTCATCTGCTGTAAACTTAAGCTAGACATGGTAACAAGGCCAGTACTTAACAGGGGGTGACAGAGCGACAGGGGTGCAACCCCAAATTATTGTGGCATTATTCCAACACTGGTTTATTGTCGTATATTATACTAAACTGTGGTTAAGTCCAAGGGGGTGGCAGAGCGACGGGGCTGCATAACTGGATTATTGTGACATTGTAGTTTATTATAAACTGGGGGCCAGTCCTGCCTAGCAATCTTTACGAACACTAGCTGACCGAACTGAAAAAAATGTGATAGTAAAACCGTAAGAAAAAATCCGTGGAAAAAAGTGCGTGCAAAAAAACCGTTAAATGAGACGTGCGCAGGCGCGACGAAGTTCCTTACGGCAGGCTTGGAGGGGATAGGGATTTTGCTGCGCGACCGAACTGAAAAAAATGTGATAGTAAAACCGTAAGAAAAAATCCGTGGAAAAAAGTGCGTGGAATAAAACCGTTAAATGAGACGTGCGCAGGCGCGACAGTCGCATACACAAGCGAGTTTGCAATTTGTGTCGATTCTACATTAGCCGAAGGAACTTCGTTCCTACCTGGTGTCCCACGACACCACATCATTTTTTTTAGTTTAGAGGAACACCGTTCTCCAGGAACCATCCATCTACATTTTATTTTGTACTTTATGTGTGTATAATGTCTCAAAGACCTCTGAAGCACGAAAAGGTTCCTTATAAATTTACGATCACACATCCGATTACCAGCCATTGTAATATTTCCTTAATGAATAAAATACGTTTCAACGGGTTAGACGCCTCGATTTTATTTATTTATTGACGTTTCGCAGCTTTTGCATGAATACATATTAAACGTCAATAAATAATTAAAATCACTGCATCTTACCCGTTGAAACGTATTTCATTTAATGAATGGTGTGCGTGAAAATCTACGAAAAAATATTTTCCTAATGTCCGAGAACTGCAAACATGAAGGAAAGTATCTTACTTTCGTATCTATATTTTGTTACAGTAGTTTTTGAGATGATACGCAATTGAAATAAGCATTATATACCTTCACTTAATGTAGGCTCTGTGTGCGGTCGTTAATGTACTCATATGTACCTATTTACATATCCAGAGGCTTATGAAAATTGTTATGTTCCTAATATTGTTATGGTAGCCGCCAGCAGTCCGAAAAAGTTGTGAGGAGCATTGAATTTAATTTACCATGTTTTGATTAGGTGCGGTCAATTGAAAAGGGTCTAAAATGTCAAGAACATGTTGAATCGAATTAAACCGTGGCGCTTGTCAGCCAAGTACTAACTCAAACTTCTATTTTCTAAACTTATATGAAGAGAAATATAGCAGTGACTTAGACTTTAGTAGCCTTCTCAGAGATGTCTAATAAATTTTATCAGAAATCATAAATCAATATATCTTTATTCAAATGGGATGTATAGTACAATACTTTTGAATCGTCCAAACATCTTTTTTCTCTACCACTCGTTATATTTTTTAGCTGCGGATAAAAACCAGCGAAAAAACCTCCACAACATTAAAAGTATAATGTAACAACATTTACAAATCATTAAGATGTTACAACGACAATACAATCATGATTCATTTAATATAGAAAACCTGTTGGAATGATTGTAACAGTTCAAAGCCAAGCATTTTTGTCTGTAATATAATCAGACACTTTATAATAAGCTTTTTTAATAAGTGCTTTTTTTAATTTGTTTTTTTTTATTTAATAATGAATTTTTATAAGAGCCACAGCTTAGCGGATTTTCCTCTCGAATTGGAACTCCCGTCTGGGGATGTAACGTCCACCTTTCAGAAGACCACAGTAAAATAACATTACCTTTTGGTGGTATTGTGTTTCTATCGGTGAGTAAAGTTCTAGGGCTCCACGGGGTAGGGGATTGAGTCAGGGTAGCCAACCGAATGTGAATTTTTGTATAGCAAGCGTCTATAGTCTATGGTGACCGCTTTCCATCAAGCGGGCCTTTTAACTTAAAAAAATAATTTAAAATCGATTCTCTCTATTATTATAGCAAAGAAAGATATAGCAATAAATTTAATCAAACTAAAAAGTTCATTAACGCTTCTGAGTATGACCATAAAAGCACTCGCATTCAGCGGCTTCCCAGTTCCAGTTTTAATAAATCTACAGGTAATTTTGAATCGCACTAGACTTGCTTCTGTCTTCGTCTGCGTGAACTTCAGAATTTAAACCCGATAACAGTTTTGCTAAAGCGTTTTGTAGTATCGGACCAGTTTTAGAATTAACAAAAAAAACATGGCACGTTATAGAATATTTTTTTTTGGAAAATAATACAATTCATATATATATATATATTAATATTTTTTTTTCAACAATATTGTAGGTCGTAATAACTAAGGTTTTATAGTTAAAAAATATTTATTTGAATGATCTACACATGACAAAAAATTACTTTAGTGATAATAATAAATATATCTAGTTCAATACATTGTTGAATAATATAAGATTTTTTATGTTTGCTAACGATTAATCAAATCAAACCTGCCGTTGCTCTCGTCGCTTCCGTTAACAAGATTCGGTTGGTCTTTAATTGTCCTGAAAAAAAAAAAAACAGAATTAGTGTTATATTTTTTATTTTATAAGCATTTAACTGCCAGATGTTTGAATCTAAAAATATTTTTGACTAGAAAACAATTTCAAAATTAACGTTTTTAATGCTCTTGCTCTTTTACCGCCTTATTAATAAACTCGGAATAAGCTTTGACTAGTTACACCGTGTTTTGTTCCTATCACTTAAATGCAATTTGTCTTTCAATGAGCAAAGACAAAACATGAAGTAACGAATCCAAGCTTATTCTTCGTTTATTAATAAGTACAGTTTAAGCCATATATTATAGATATAGTTGTTTGTATTAAGAATACAAATCCTGTTATTTCATAACATTAGTGTTGTCATTAAATAATTCAATGGACCAAAAATTGTGGTCAAACTGAGATCTGTGTTATTTCTAAGGTGGCAAGTGAAAAACTTTACCATATTATATGCATACTATACCTCTCCATAATAGACTCCGTTGAATAATGTCCTGTCACCATCTACTATCAAGAAGAAGAAAGGATGGTCGGCTACAAATGCTTGTTTTTTCACTGGGTACAAACTTGATCCCATACCAGTGACACCTTCAGAAAAATAAGTTTATATTTTTAAACACGTTTCGCATGTGGTGCTTTGACACGCACACACACATATACACAGTCAGGTCATAAGTATTGTCACACAGTAAAAACTTCTCTTTTAGAATGCTGGCCACAAAAAAGTTTACTGAATTTGAATTTCGAATTGTTCATGAAAATAAAAATGTATCCTTTTTAGAATTTTACTCATTTTTAAATATGAAGTAGACGCTTAAAGAAGACTGTGTTGCAGTTATTGCATTGCATCGTTGCGGTTACGCGCTAAAAAATTTTTGACATACTGAAAATTTTGAATATATTCATAACTAAAAGATTCGTTTACCGTACCATCAAACGATACAATGAAGACTCTAGTGTAGATGATAGGTCAAGAAGTGGTCGCCCTCGGTCTGTTAGGACTCCAGCAGTGATTAAAGCTGTAAAGGCGCGAATTCAAAGAAATCCCAAACGTAAGCAGAAACTGTTGGCCCTTTAGATGGGGTAAAGCAGAACCACGGTGAAAAGGGTGTTAAATGAAGACTTAGGGCTTCGGTCATATCGAAGAAAAATAGGACATCGTTTGAATGCTCGTCTAATGGACCTGAGACTGAAGAGATGCCGCACTTTGTTGAAGCGGTACGCGGGAAAAAAATATCGGGATCTTTTTTCCGATGAAAAATTTTTTACCGTAGAAGAGAGCTAGAACAAACAAAATGATAAGGTGTACGCACACAGTAGTGAAGAAGCGAGCAACCGTATTCCGAGTGTCCAACGTGGTCATTTTCCTCATCGCTCATGGTATGGTTGGGTGTTTCTTATTGGGGCTTAACAGAGGTACATTTTTGTGAGAAAGGTGTAAAAACGAATGCAGTTGTGTATCAAAATACAGTCCTAAAGAACCTTGTGGAACCTGTTTCTCATACCATGTTCAATAACAGGCACTGGGTATTCCAACAAGATTCGGCGCCAGCTCATAGAGCGAAGAGCACACAAGAGTGAAAATCGACTGTGAAATCGACTTCATCCGGCACGAAGACTGGCCCTCCTCCAGTCCAGATTTGAGTCCGTTAGATTACAAGATATGGCAACACTTGGAGGAAAAGGCGTGCTCTTTGAGCTCCTCATCTCAATTTGGAGTCACTCAAAATATCCTTGATTAAGGCAGCCGCCGATATTGACATGGACCTCGTTCGTGCTGAGATAGACGACTAGCCGCGCAGATTGAAGGCCTGTATTCAAAATCAGGGAGGTCATTTTGAATAAACTTTATTGTCATAAGAATCTATGTTTTGTTAAGTTCATTTTGGTATATAAATGGTTACATAATGAATAAACTTGTTTCAATTATTTTATATTAAACATGTGAGAGAATTTATGACCTGACTAGGTATATATTATATAAAGCAATATATATATATGTAATATATATTGCTTTATATAATATATATACATATAATTTTATTTTTTTAAACATGTTGTATAAACAAATTAAATTTGTATTAAACTTTAGTTTAAATAGGTATTATATCCATCACCATCATTAGTCTAATAATGTCCAGCAGTGGCACAGGCCTTCCATGACCCACCACGCGGGCCCAGTGCGGATTGGTGGATGCTAGCTACTGCAGAGGTAGTCGTGATCAAAGGCTTAACGTTTTCCCGATGAACTGTAGACGATGATGATACGAGTATATTCACATCAAAAAAGTCTAAGCAACACGCATCATTTACAGAAACTGTTTGTTTTATTAATTAATGTTTATTTTTTTTCTAAAAGTAGATTGTTATACAACATTTTATGATCTCGAAAATATTATTGGCTGATTTAAAAAAATAAAAAACAGACATGTGCGGTTCACATGCGATAGAAGAGAAACATACAAAAATGTGAATACGTAAAAGTCTTTCAGCCGTCCGTGGCCTTATTTGTTACCAGAACTATTTTATTTTATTTCTATGGTTATGTTTTTCTTATCTTAAGTTTTTCGAAATATTTATCTATACTTATAATAAATCTGTAGAGATGTCAATTCTGTACATGAAATATATTTTTAAAATAACTATCAGGGGGTGATTAGTGATCGATACTGATGCCAAAAATGCAATCAGTAAATTTTTTGTCTGTCTGTCTGTCTGTCTGTCTGTCTGTCTGTGTGTATGTTTCTTATAGAAACAAAAACTACTCGACGGATTTTAACGAAACTTGGTACAATTATTCTTCATACTCCTGGGCAGGTTATAGTATACTTTTCATCACGCTACAATCAGTAGGAGCAGAGTAGTGAAGGGAAATGTTGGGAAAACGGGAGAAGTTACTCCATTTTTTAAGCTTCCGTCGCGTGTGCATCCTTAATGATTAAAGTTACATAGAAATCATGTATGACGGAAATATTCTACATAAAATTGTCTAAAAAATATCCCGCAACAGCATATGTCTATCTTTTATGGTTGACTCACAATAACACGTGTAACTCCCGATAGCTTAGCAGTTCGGAGCATTCTGATCATATTTGTTTACTCTTACGTTTATAATACTCGGTATAGAAACACCAAACTTATACATGAAATAAGCCATCGCGCCGTCGCACGTGAATACTGAATCATGCTATAAGGATTATTTTTGTGTAACGGTTGCCGCGCTCGACACGGGTCGCGGCAGCGGTAGGGTATCAGAGGTCCGAGAGCGAGCTGTCTAAATCTGTTTTCTGCGTCGCTCCCCCCCTGGGGGACGATCGCTCCCGATGAAGCCTTAGAGGCCTTCCCGGCCAGAGGCAGCCCCTACGGGTGTTTTTTAGTCAGTACGAGTCTGACATAACCTTGCAGCCGGCTGAAGGGTATCCATGAGGATTTCTCATCTGCTCCCCCGCCTGGGAGACCGAAACCGTGCTTATCAGCGCGACTTTTAGTCTTTAAATAGTTTATTTGAATTTCTTTTGTTGTTATTTTGTAAAACAGGTATTAGTTGTTTTGGTAGTGTTTAAATATTCGTTCAAAGTGTAATTTAATCATATAGGATGAATGTACGATGGCCCATCGAAAAGGAGTAGAAGCGGTAGACAGAACTTTAAGAGATATAAGACAAAATGATCGACCCATCGGCGGTATCACAGTTTTATTTTGTGGTGATTTCCGACAAACCTTAACGGTAATACCACGGGGAACCCGAGCTGCTGAGGTTAGGGCTTGCCTGAAAAGCTCTTATTTAGGTGTTCGAGCCTAAAGGCTTGATCCACCTTGAGACTACGCATGCACATTCTGACGTCATAACAGCGTGAAGTTAGCTCTTTTTGATAGTGGCGCCCTCTGTCGCAAGTGTGAAGTGTATCAACTTCACTCCGATGGAGGGGACTTATTCAGCGCGGGCGGTGTATTTGTCAGTACGCTTTTGCATTCTGACAAGTCAACACGTATACAAAAGCTGATATTTTTCACTCGGTTAGTAATATTCTCAACAATTAGTTTTAAAAAGCTATAATAATACAGTATTCCGTCGTACAGAAAGTCGTAGTGCGCCCTTGAGCCACGAAATGCAGTGCGCCCTTGTGCCACGTGCGTGGGTTGACGACTACCCTCAAATCAAATACCGTGCGTCGCAGTACCACGGTACGACGTCGTATCACTGATACGTTAGACAAACGTAACATCAACTCGATTAATTTCATACGACCGTAATACGACACCCGATACGTCGTATCATCTTCGATACGACAACCGCCTCTGCGACACCGAAACGTAGTTGATTGAACACTAGTCTCATACGACAACCGGCTGGTACGACACAAGTCGCATAACATTGATACGACAATGATACGACATATACAAGACAATGAACTATTCTGACTTAATTCATCTCATTGCAGAAATATGGACGCAACCGCTTCCTGCTCGAAGACAATGACGATGGGCGAATTGTCAAGTCTTGTACCAGAAGGAGACGAACGGCGTTTTAAAACAGTCTTAGAGCTCGTACGAAAATACTACCCTCCAGGTTGGGAAAAATGGGAAATCCAAAATCACTCATTCGAAAACCTTTTTGGAGGCAGCATGTCACCAGAAATCGAAAAGAAAATCCGATTTGCGCTACCTACAGTGGAACTTATTCAAGCGATCTACCCTGATTCGCCAAATGCTTCGGAAAGGTCATTCAGAGACTTGAAGCGCCGCCTTTTAAACTGGTCTTTTGGCCGCGCGTTACTATATTCGCCACACAATATTATGGAAAAAATCCATTATAAGTCTCACAACGTCTTCATGGACACAGTTGCAAAATTAAAACCTCTTATACTTTCGAGGCAAAGTGCCTTCGAGCGCCTCCAGGGCTTCAAAAGAACAAGCACCTCCACAGAACGTTCGATCTCACCACAAGCACGTGCAAAGCGAATACGATCGCCTTCACCAACCCAAACAGATCCTCCAAAGAGGCATTGTCCTACTCCACCCGCTTTATCAGCAAAAAGCGAAGACCTACTCTCACTTCTTTTAGAACAACAAGTACGACAGAACAAGATGTTTGAACGTATCGTACAACTAAGTCAAAATCAAGAAGAAAAGATGTCTAAAATTGAAATGAAGCTAGAACATAAATCACCTGACAGTGCCCCAGAGGATCTTAACGTATCATTCGCTGACAGCACTTATTCAGAAAACTTTCAGGATGAAGATGACGAAGAAGCAGAGTCGAACGCAACACCACCTAATATCTGGACACCCATTAAATCTAATGATGCTGATGAAAATAAAGGAGCACAAATCAGCCAAGAAGAATCTCTTAGAATCCAAATAATAGATGCTCAACGAAAACTACTTGAACTACAAAAAAAAAATCCCCAGCCTCAAACAACCGAAACTAATATCGATTTCTCGCCATTAGTAGTTGAGTCCCAAGTAAAAATTGCTAAAGCTGATCCAGAACTTGCAAAACAAGGCTCAAGATGCCAACGCTTAGGCGAAGATACATGGAAAAACATACGCTACTTTGATGTCCAGAAACAATTTCAGGCGACTCCGGTATTCACGTCACTTAAAGTTAACAGCCATTTAGCACTCGCTACCCCTTTCTGGCACAGCGTGTCTATACTCGAACGAATTGACAGTACTCTGGCAGCTATAAGTCATGGTCTTCTACAACAACGTAAACACTTCGAAGAATGTTGTCAGAATCTTAGTCCAGAGCTTAAAAGCCAAGCCAATAAAGAACTCTTAGGTCCTGAATCTAAATTCAAAAAGACATCAGATGCTCTACTTCAATATACATGCGGGAAGAGATCTGAAATAATTCATCAAAGAAGACAACTATACAAAGCTTCTAACAAAGCGCTAAACGAAATTCTCCATGACATCCCACCGTCTGATACTCATTTATTTTCCGAAAAATCACTCAGCGAAGTGGTGAAAGATCATGGAGGACCACATAAGATGTTTCCCGCAAAATCCAGAAAACCTTCGAAAAATAAGCAAACCGCATCATCAAGGAATTTCCACAACAACAGAAAGAACTTCACCAACAAAGAGCCATTTCATGGAAACACACGTAGAGAAAACAGAAAAACTACGAAACCTCAATACAATAATTCAAACAGTTCCAACAAACGATCGACCAATCAACATACTAAAAAGCTCTGACTCATTTCAAGCGGGTCAACTAGCCCAATTTATCCATATATGGGAAAGTATAGGAGCACCCCGTACAATTTTATCAATGATTCAAAATTACAGAATACCTTTTCTACAAAAACCACCTTTAATGACTTTAATTACAGAAATACAAGCAAAAGTGACGAACGAAAATCCAGATGTAATATCGACCCAAATATCGGAACTTTTGAAATCGAAAGCAGCTATCCCCTTAAGGTACTCAAGAGGATTTGTGTCTCCAATATTTTTAAGAAAGAAGCCGAATGGAGATTACAGAATTATAATAAATTTAAAGAATCTCAACAATTTCGTGAGCACTCCAAGGTTTCACCTCCCAAACTTATATTCAATACCAAATCACCTGTGGGAGAAAGATTACATGCTAAAGATAGACATTTCTCAGGCATATTACCACATCCCAGTCACTCAAGCACACCAACGGTACTTAACATTCCAGCACAATCAGTCATTTTTCCATATGACATGTCTTCCATTCGGACTCGCAAGTGCCCCGTCAGCATTTGCGAAGATCACAAATTGGTTGGCACAGCACCTAAGAGAGAAACAACTAAAAGTGATCGTGTATTTAGACGATTTTCTTTGAACTACCGATCATTTGGTGTAGACCCCAAGACTGTTACCGTTCGGCTATTTGTCACTTGCAGAGTCACAAAATTACAGATACCTTGTGTCAAATACTGTTGTATTTACAAAGTATCCGTAATTTTCGTTTCATCGAGTTTCAAATCACAACGGTGCTAAACAAGTTTTCACTGCAATAGAAGCTTTTCGGTAGTTTATTTATTAATATAGTATAAGTATATTACTATAGTAAAAATTGTTCTGAAGTTCAGAACGGTACAAAAAGTTGAAAATACTTTTTTGATCAGTATATTTAATAAGTGCTTGTAACAGCCTAAACGGAATAAACAATATACCTAGGATTTGAATAAAAATTCTACAAACCGGTAGCAGCGGCAGCCTCAGATCCCTCTTCACTAACCGAAAAGACGGCTTTTTGGAAAATATTGGAGATGAAAAGGTCACTGCCATTATTTTTAACAAGATTTACTAGCTTAGCCTTATTCTGGTCAAAGATGCTCGTAACACCCAACTGTAAGAAGAGAATGTTTATGTTTGATGTAGTGCAGTGTATATTTATATTTATTCATGATTTTTGCGTTTGAATTTAAATAGAGAAACCATAGACACTTTGTCCATGGTTTCTTACTGGAAAACAACGACCAATATACTTTTCGTGCTTCACAAAATTCTTATGTCTACTGTCGCTATACTTAGTCTTTAAGTATGGACGACAAATATTTTTAACACTAATGCGGACGTGGAGTCTCAGGCTTATATTCAAGCTTTTTCTAGAAACTGATTAAATTCCGCGCCAAAATCCTATCTTTACCCGAATCCGAATCCTTAAAAGAAAATAACAGGTATTTGAAATTAACTCACTTCATCATAATTACAGACAATAAGAATAATTGACATCATGGCGCTTTTTTTTTAACTTGTCAGGGTTATACATTTGAATCCATTAAAAGTAACTCAATTTTACACTAGAACAAAAATAACTTTTTTGTCCACTTATTTAATAAGAACGTGCAGAAAAACTAAAAAGCTCCTTCTGAAAACAAAGATTAAAAATCCCGTCAGCTGGCATTATATGTGTAATTTACTGGCAATCACATGAAGTACTCGAACATTGCAGTGGTTATTCTAAGACTTTTCGTAGGACATATATAAGCTCTTCTAGTTCCTTGACTGACTGGTGGTGTCTGGGCATCTTCAGTAACCATATCTTTATCCAATCTCGAGCTTCATTTGACTTTAACTCGCTCGGAAATTTTGTGTTTATTACGCTTCTTTGGTATTTGGCTTATGGCTTAAATGCGCTCGGTATCTCTCTATTATTCTAGCTGTTTTGAACTAGAATAACTTGCTTTACTAATATGTATCATTTTTTTAGGGTTTCGTAGCCAAATGGCAAACAACGGAACCTTTATAGATTCATCATGTCCGTCCGTCTGTCCGTGCGTATGTTACAGCCACTTTTTTCCGAAACTATAAAAACCACACTGTTGAAACTTGGTAAGTAGATGTATTCTGTGAACCGCATTAAGATTTTCACACAAAAATAGAAAAAAACAAGAAATTTTGGAGATCCCCATACTTAGAACAGAAACTCAAATATTTTCTTTTTCATCAAACCCATACGTGTGGGGTACCTATGGATAGGTCTTCGTCATAAATCACAAATCAATTCAATAAAATCCCTAATATTAAAAAGTTACAACGAACTATTCTTATATATATATAACTTTCATTTTATGCTTCTTGCTGCTGCTACGTTCATGGGCCACTTTTTTCATAACTAAAATCTCAAACAAACACGAAAATTATCATAATACTTTGTATGACTACAGTGGACGTGAAGCCTGTCAGGCTCCAGACAATATTTTAATCAATATTACTCACGTAGGTACTATGCATCCAGCGATACAACCTCCTCCCTTATTGTCTATTTTGCTGCTAAAAGTGAAGCTACTGAGATGCTCGGGTGCAAGGGGCGGAAGGTAGTGTGTGAAACTAAGATCTTCAGAACCACGAGGAGCCTGTGAGACTTCACGTCCATACTTAAAGGTTAGTCTCTCTGATGGCCCTGACTCAAACTCAAACACGCGACAGTAACTGTTGTAAATCCAGTTATTTTATCATTTATCCATTTAAGATCCTATGAAGTGACATTTTTATATTTTATTTTAAGCATTAACATTTTACTTTATTTATAAATCTAAAGAAAATGTTACAAAAAATATCCTGGAATTTTTCTAGAATTTTTTTAGGTCCTATGAATCTGAGGAATGAAAAACATTGTTTTATAAACAATAATACCGAATGCTTACCGTTTGAAGATATTCCTTCACATGGAGAAAGTTTTCAAATTTGAACTTGGGAAGATATAGATCGACTTCAGTCTCAATCATATTTTGTAGATTTTTCTTCAGTTTGCCTGATTTCTTGAACACTTGCTCGTGAGCGAGAGCTGTGACTCCATCAACTTTATTTGGCAGTATAATTAAAAAGTACATTTTTTCGTCCACATAGGGAATTTTTAAAATCTAAAATAAAGTTTGAATATTAAAATAATAATTTTGGATGTCTGATCTATCTGACAGACTGGACAGTTGTCCAGAATTTATATATTATTTTAATAAAGCATGTGAATATTATGGCTAACTTCTTTAAGTTGAAGACTCATTGAGGTGTTCGTATCGTATTTACCATGAATCGAGTGAGTTACGGTATATGTAGTGGTGTTGATTCTAGCATGATTCTGTAAACCTAAACTTAAATTTGGCATCAGTATCATTCTCTATACAGAATGAAAACGAGAGACTGATGTTAAATTTAGTTTTAGGTTTAGATAATCACGCCAGAATCGACTCCATTACTTTCTAATAAAATTTGTCGGTAAAACGATATTGACGGTGATTCAAATGGTTGTTGATGATGAGTTTTATTTTTAATTGCAATATACCTTGGAGTCTATCTCTTTATCTTCTTCGTACCAGTACTTGCTGCTCTTGAACATGGTGGGAACTTTCACTGTCTTGTTACTTGTAACATGGAAATCACGTACTTTCGTCAAAGATGGATCGAATTTCTTGCTATCCGTCCAGTTGCACTAAAATTTGTAATAAATATTCATTAATTGTACATAGATTTCCTTTATAAAAAGGTTCAAAATATTGATTCTATGACGGAAGGGAAAAGGAAGGTGAAATCCAGAAATGAAGATATCTGGTGCAGCATTTCGTGCCACACCAGTCATCGCTTCGAAATGCAAATTTGTCAATAGACTAGTAGTTTCAAAAATTGTTGTTGACGTCATTAACGTTGTAACTTTATCGAAGATAATAATCATCATTAAACATCCGAAGAAGTGTCACTCTGAAAATAGCTTCATCAGTAAACATATCCTACGTTCATTACAGAAAGCTAATGAGAATGAGGTCTTGCTAGTTCTTTCTCGTGGTAGTATTTTTTTTGGTACGCATAGTAATAAAAGTAGTACTTTACCTTGAAATAGATGGCATTCACAATTACCGCGCGGGTGTTGGAATCTAAGCTCTTCGAATCTATCAAATGTGTAACGCGATTATTGGTGTGATTTTGCACCTGCAAAACAATGTGGTGTCAGGGACCAGTCATTATAATCATCAACCTTTGAACGAAGAACTGATGCTAATGATCAAGTAGTAATTTAAGACGATTATGATAATATTAAAATTACAAGATAATATTGAATACATACAAGGATAAACATGACATTGAGAATTTTTTATTAATTTCTAAATTGCAATTAGGTTAAAATAGAATATGTAAAGTGAGGAGCCGGCGAACAAAACGGTATAATTACATAAAATTAAATTTTACTGGAGCTGTATAAAACTGAACGACATACCTCCAATGAGCTTTTGGCATGGTTTTAAATTTATAAATTTAGTAATTTTAACACTGTTTTAGGAGGTTTTGATAGAAAATTATTTGAGACTCCAATTCAACGGGCCCGAAACCTCCGGAATGTAAAAAAAAGTAGTTTGACCAGAGGCGTAATTATACCGTTTTGTTTGCCAGCTCCTCAAGTGATGAGTTAGTTCTTCTAATTTTTTTTTAATGCTCAAGTTACTGCTTACCCAGCTATTGATCTTAACGGCAGCTTCAAGATTATTAGTGAAGTTGACTTGTTTCACGTCTGAATTGAATACATTTTTACTAACAGAGTTGAATTCCTCATTTAATTCGTATCCTTCAGGTATGTAGATACTGTTTGCTGTCTCCAGCTCGACTCCTGGTCTTGATTTTAACACTTGTTTTGCATACAAAAACACGTCTTTTGTCTAGAAAAAAGACATTTACAATGAGTAGGTTAGTTAGTTATTTATTTGAAACTAGCTATGTTTAGCTCTTTCGGTTATAAACACTTTTCCTGGTTTATGGCATGATACATTCGAGTACTTACAACAGTGTCGTTGGGCAGACCCATAACTTTGAGAATTTCATCATGGGATGCTCCAACGGAGGCGAATGCCAGCTGCGCCAGAGGCGCCATGACTGAGTATCCAGACATGACTACACTCTGACCAGGTTTGTCTAAGACAATCTCCTGTAAATTGATTATGATATTAATAGTTATCGAAGAGATCGGATTGACTTATTAAGGTGCACTGCGGCTTTGGGGATCGCGGCGAAACACCGCGCTGTGGATCACAGGCATTTTATGTTGTGTTTTTACTTATATCATTGGCTATTACTACACACCTATTGATGCGCGCACACAAGGTAGCGGCTTCACCGCAACCACCAAAATTCTCGCTCCCTTCAAGATTCTTATCTAGATTCCCTCCCTACGCTCTGGATTTAACACTAGAATGCTTTGCTGCTTTCGGGATACAACATCCTTTCTATAGTTAAAGTCTTAATATCACTTGTTAGTTAATTCTAAGATCTAGGTGCACGCGCGCTATTAACTTAGAATTTGATGAAAAACACACAGCTGATAAAATCGCTAAAAGTAAATATATACATATATAGTAATAATACACATTATACGAATTTCATGTAAAAAGAACTTACGTACCTACTGGCTGGATATTCGTTCTTTTTGTTACAGTTAGAGAAATAAACTGACAAAGAAACCTGTCCGTTGGGGTCTTTTCTATCTCCTAAACTGGCTAATTAAGTAGTTATAGGTAACGATATTAAACTACAAGGTGCCTTTATTTTTTGATTAGGTAAAAATACCTTTGTAGTGTATATGCAAGTTATTACCTTCACTGAACTCGGATTTAACTCCATCACACATGGGAGTGGAATTTAACGACCAACGTGGTCTAGTAATTAACTAACCTAACGCTTTTTAACTCGATATTAGAGATCCTTCAGTAAATTAAGTTTTTTATATCTAAACTAGCTGTCCATGCGAACTTTGTACCACTATAAAAAAATAAGGGTTGGTGGTAGAAGGGCGAAAATTTAGGTTTGCATGTATTTTTGTATGATGTATCATAACACAAAAAAAATACGGGTGGACCACCCTTAACATTTAGGGGGATGAAAAATAGATGTCCGATTCTCAGACCTACTGAATATGCATATAAAATTTCACGAAAATCAGTCGAGCCGTTTCGGAGTAGTTCAATTACGCACACCATGACACGAGAATTTTTTTATTAGATATTACCATATCGCATTAAAATAAACATGCCGATTTTACACATCGACATAATTTAATGCGAAACAACTGCATAACAGAGAGTACCAATGATTGATTTGTTCCAATAAAACCTACTGATTAAAACAACGCAAATCATGGTCCAGTAAAAACCTTTCTATATCAATAACGATAAATTTGATTCGTTGATAACGTATAAAAAGCGTAAAAATTAAGATTCCAATTAATAGAAAATTGATAAAAAATACACCATGATGAAATCGCACCGGTAACATAACAAAGGCCTCTTGCATTAATAAATAAAACATTCAATATTTTCAGTTGTTGAAATTCAACTTGTAATTGTTATTGCAGTATGCTGAAAATTATTATAAGCCTCATTTGCATGCTGTAACCGTAACCGTTGCATGCACTGTAACCAAAAAGCATAGTGTGTACGTGGTTCGTTGACCTGCTGCGAGCGGTACGCGTACGGTTTGCAGCGAGCCGACGTGTACAACTCAGCTATAAGGGTACACACTAGAACCTCGTACTGTATCACGCATGTTACGGTTACAGCTCGCTAATGAGTACCCGGCTTTAGACTTATGGCCCGCCCTCGCTTCGCTTCGGTGTGTGTATATATACACATATAGTCCATGACACGCAGTGTTACTAGGAAGTCATTTCGCCTTCCCCCGAAAACTTACTCGAAATCTCCCCAAAATACAGGTTTATGAAGAAAAAACCCCCCAACATGTAAAATAATCAGTTAATCATCAATTAAAAATACAATATTTACTACAAAGTTTGTATTTTTGCAACAGCATCCATTTACTGGATCAACATCTTCGCACGCGTCGTCTTTCCCACTCCTTTGTTAATCTTCTGACATAACTTTGTTTTAATAATGCCATTATTTACCAAGGTGCAAACAATTAAAGGGACAAATTACCAAATTGCGACTTAGCAAAGCAAAGATGATTGATACTGTCGATTAGATTTGCAATTTAAGCGAACTACCTTTAATGACTGACTGACTTGCTTGACTTGACTGATCGAGTGACTGATCAAGATGGAATGGACCGAAGAATGCTGAATAGTGAGCTTTGGACTTAGGGGTCCGAATTGGGCTTACTGAATGAACACAGTTCTGTAGACCCGAATCTGGCATGATTCTCTAAGCCTAATAAAATTAAATTTGACAACAGTCTATCCTTTTCATGCTCTATACAGAATAAGAAAGAGAGACTAATGATTGACCGTCGATCGTGACTTATTACAGATTTAAAGTTTATGAAGTGGTTTTATTTTTATTAAAAAAATGGAATTAAAAAACCCTCCGTTTCCCCCAAACTAAATTTCTTCCCCCCATCAATCCCCCCAAAAATATTTTCCTCCCAATTATCCCCCCATCGCTTTAAAATACCCCCAAATTTGGGGGGGATCCTCCCAATCTGGCATCAGTGATGACACGCACACATAGCGTAAAACCGTTGTGAATCAACGGGACAGTTAATATGTAATATATATACATATCGAAATATAAATGATATCGCTCACTATAGTTATGGCGAGATATAATATAAATAATATCTCCCGTAGTGAGAAGTCGGCTTAACTTTCTATTGGTAAAAGAACTTTCAAAATCAGTCTAGTGAGTCCAGTGATTACCTCTTACAATCTTTCACTCATAATATATGTATAGATAAGATAAATATTATAAGTTATGCTGTAAAAATTAAGGCAGACCTTTATTAATAAATAAGCGTCGCTCCCCAACTAAATACGCGATAAAATATGAAAACTAAGAATGAAAGAAATTTAGAAATAGTTCCAGTAGTTTTTGTGTTTATGATATACAAAAAACAAATCTTTTCTCTTTACAATATTAGTATAGTTATACTAGACGTGCCCGCCACTTCATTCGCGTGGATGTCGGAAAATAACCCCATCCCAACCTTATTACCTAGTAAATAGACTGTATTACCTACCAAATACATATGTGTATAAAAAATATATATAAAATTCAATGAAACCGTTTCGGAGGAGTTCGATAACCAACACTGTGATGCGAGATTTTTATATCCTACTTTTCCTATTAATACATATATAAATCTGAAAGTTTGTAGCTAACTACATAATCGCGCAAAAACTGTTTAACGCATTTAGATGAAATTTGGTATGCATATGTTTAGGACCTGGATTGAGACATAGGATATTCGCGGGCGGCCGCGAGTTTACAATAAACGATTTTTTACGTAAGTAGTAATTATAAACATTTTTACGTGATAAAAAATTTCCTATGTCTTAATCCAGGTCATAAACTATATGCCTACCAAATTTCATCCAAATTTTCTCATTTCGTTCAGCAGTTTTTGCGTGGTTGAGTAACAAACATACAAACTTTCACATTATTTAATAATATTAAATAGGATACATGGTAACCAGTAATCCCTACCGTATCCGTGTGGAATTCCATTTCCCTTTGGAATTGAAGAGAACTTTTCTTAAACGGATAAACACTCCCTGACGATTCTACTTACTTAAAGTCTGTGGGGATAATAGAGCTTTCGTGCTCAGTGAATCATTCCGCGAGGTAAATCGCTTCCACATTATAGATTTAGATTATTTTACCACGTCGGATTCCTTTACTTTGACAATTAATTTATATTAATCGATAATCGGATCTTTAATGAGATTTCTCATTTAACGGCCTTATGAAAAGGAGAAATAGAAAAGAACGTTGTCTAGTCCAGTTGCACAATGCAAATGCTTTTCCTACCTTCTTTTTCTGATTATAATAAATTTCTTTGAAAATAGTTAAAACCATCTCGAATTTCAAAGTAAAAGTATTACACTTTTAATACTTTTATTAAAATACATGACTAAAGTTAAAGACAATTTAAAAATGATACTTTTACCTTTGTATCTCACTTCTTCGACGGAAAAATAAACAGATTTGCATTTTTTGGGGCTTTTAGCTACTTTAAAACTATTTGATAATCAAGCAAAATATTTCTGATCCAGTCAACATTTCATAATATAGGCCATTAAGCCATAAAGCCATTGGTCCCGGCTGAATCTTACTCCTACCAATCCGAACTGGGCCCTTGTGGTGGATCTTATTTCCTAATAGGTAAGGGCTGCCCTAACAGAGCGGACATAAAAAACCTGTGAACGTGATGCACCTTTCTCCATTAAAAAATTGATATATATCATTTAGGGCAAAGTGGCCCTAAATGATAAATATCAAGCACCAAAGTTCTTGGATAAAATTAAAGGTACAAGTCCAGAACAGGCTGCAGACTGCAACCGCAGGTGACACACGCCACGTGGCGCACGCAGTGTGTTTTCAGGTAACACCCGACGCCACGTGTTAGTCGTTTTTTTCGAATTTTCTTGAAAAACTTTTCTGACTCGCTATTACATAGCACACGACCATACAATTTCACTGCTGTCAAACAACTGTATTCAAAAATTATTATAATGTGTAAAAGTATTGGTAATGTGCACGGTGTACATCGGGTGTCGACGCGAAGCATCGCGTCGCGTTAAATAATTATGTTTCCGCCTTTATATGATTAGCTTTTAAATTTGATTTAAGAACTTAAGTGCGAGTGAGCTTTAAATAAAAAAAAGAAGTATGAAACATGAATTTACGTAAACTTACATAAAACAATTCCAAGGAGAATACTGTAGTGGCATCGTCGAGGTAATTTTTCGTTTTTGATGTGTTATTTTGTGACATTGTTAGGGCAACACCCGCTAAAACTGTAACAAAGTTATATGTACCTATTTAGTTTTATTAAAACTTCCATTAAACTGTGATATATAAAAAATATGTTTCCTTATCACTTAAAACGCTTCTGCTTCTTTAATTTAAAAAAAAAAAAATCATATGATCACTTTTATGTAGGAAGTAGGGATTTAGGCTAATATACCGTATTTTTATAGAATATTTAGGCTTGTTGACATGTTAGTTGTAAAGTTTCTTGAACTATTTCATCATCATCATCATCATCATTTCAGCCGAAAGACGTCCACTGTTGGACATAGGCCTCCCCCATGGATTTCCACAACGATCGGTCCCATGCTGCCCGCATCCAGCGGCTTCCCGCGACCTTTACCAGATCGTCGGTCCACCTTGTGGGGGGCCAGCCAACACTGCGTTTCCCGGTACGCGGTCGCCACTCGAGGACCTTTCCGCCCCAACGGCCATCGGTCCTGCGAGCAATGTGCCCTGCCCATTGCCACTTAAGGTTTGCAATTCTGAACTATTTAGCACGAATATATTGTACTATGTCACATTATACTACTATTGTATAACAATAGTAGTATAATGTGACATAGTCAGTATACTACAAGTTCTCACTTCTACATGACTTAAATAACGTCTTTTTTAAAACGCCACTAACTGTGCACTTTCGTAAGAGCTTGTAGCTGTATAACCTTTAATTAACAACGCCCAATTTATTAACCGATTTGGGTGCAACAAGGGCGGGTAACACAGGTAAAAAAAATGTATTAAAGGTTTCTAAAGTCTCATAAAATAAAAAAATATTATTTTTAAGGAATACCTTATTTTTCTAAGTAATTCATGGGAAAAATATAAATTCATAACATAAACATTTAAAAAACATAACTCATTAAAAGATTCATTTACATTTTTCTCGAAACTATTTTTTTGAGATACGTCCTTGTTGCTCCCAATGCTTATTATATACTTATATTTATTACTGAGATACATGGAAGACGCTACATGGAAACATAAACACCGAAACGATAGGTTTTTACCAATTTTATGAGTACTTGTCCGTGTTATAGGATCTAGTACTCAATAGAGGAGCTCGATGACGCAGGTGGTTAGTGCGCCCGCCAGCAATCGTGAAAGTAAAGCAACTCTCGTAAATGGTCGGCCGTTAGATGGGTGACCAAAAATTTATTATCTCGAGCTTCTCCGTGCTTTATAAGGCACGTTAAGCCTTTGGTCCCGGCTGCATCTGCAGTCGTTAGCACCCACCATTCCGCGCTGGACCCGCGTGGTGGGTCACTATTTCATCCATATCGAAGGCGTGTGCGCCGACAGTGGGGATATTAATAGGCTAATGATGACAAATGATTTGAATGATTTGATCAAAAAAGTTTACTTTTTGAATTAATTGAGATACAGTGACTTTAATGTTAATCAATATTTGTTAAAATTTCTATTAATAATTATGCATATCTCTATATAAAAATGAGTCATAATTACTTATGCATATCTGTATCGGATGAAAACTTAGTTATACGTAAATAACTAATAAAAACATATTAATACTTACAATATATTAAAATCCTCATTTTATTTATTTATATACGAGTAGTGGCTACTGTAATAATCTAAGATTTACTGACAGGTTACGCTGCGATTATATGCCATATATAGAGGTGAATTATGGTATGAAGGTTGCCATGCCAGCTATCGCATCAAGCTTGAAATCGGCATTTATGTCGCGAGTTACACGGTAATTGCTTTATAGGATAAAACTTTTCATACGGATTTTAACATTCTAGCTCTCTAACCAATCACACCGCATTGTGCTATCAGCCAATTTGATTCCTGACCCACCATAATCTCACAACCAACACTTAAGCAATCTTGCCGACCTGCACAAATGATTTTTTACGCACCTTTTTAAAAAAACCCAGGTTGTATAAAAAAAAAACAAAGGCACCACGTGCGCGGGCAAAGAATTCCAACACCGAGTAGTACGACAGTGGAATGAATCACCAAGTTTTTTTTTAAGAAAAGGGGGAGATGGGATATGAAAAAATAACTCTTTAGAACATTCGTCGTGGTAAAGACAATAGAGCACACTTATTTAAGCCACATCACGGCGTCATTGAAGAGGCTCGAGGTGTCTAGTTACCTCCTCATCGCCTATGATGCGGATCACGCGCCGCTGTAACTTATCCAAAGCATCGAGCAAGTAGTTGGCGGAGCCATCCCAGAGGTGCGAGCAATATTCCAAGCAAGACCGCACCCGCGTCTTATACAACAAACATACATTTGCACGTCAGAGAGACTGCCAGCCAGTTTCTGCGTATTCAAGTAGATCCGAATGGAACAGTACCGATAAGCGCTAGTAGATCAGCACCGGTAGCCAGCTCTATACGTGTATACACGGCTTTAGTGTTAATGGGTGAAAATTAAGGTTCAAGTGTAATACCGATTAAGATGAAATTTGGTGTACAGAGAGATTAAGTTTCATCCATAAAGGAGGTAATAAGGGGGCTGAAAGTTAACTGAGCGACGCAGACGTCGATATCCGCAGCTTGATATTTGTGAATGATGGTGCTCAATTTGCTTATTTAAAAAAGATATTTATCAAAGTGATATTAAATATCCAAAGCGGAAATCTACACACAGTAATAGTGGGGATTTCAATGTCTCTTTTAACATGAAAGTTTAATAAAACGACAGTTATTCGCAACAAAGTGTTTTAATTGATTTTTGAAAATAATTTAACTTCCATCAGTAGTTCCGTAAAATCCTTGTAATAATAGCAACAACAACGGGTGTTTTGTAGTTTTTGTGCTGTTCGGATGTAAAAAAAATAAAAGAACTGCCTTTTCAGTTGACCTGAAACAAAATAAGAATAAAAGGAAAATTATGTACCTATTAGACGTGTTTTGGACTATTGAGTAAAAAAGGAGCTAAGCGCTAATATTTTATTTTAATATAAATTGCTATAAATATGGTAATAGAAACATACCACTATTCTGTGTAATTTTTCCAATAAGCTAATCTCCTCGGCCCATGCCGAAGAGATTTAGAAAATAAGGCCTATCAAGGCCTTTATTATGTTAAGAACAATGTTCGTATTTTAAGCGATTCCCATAGAGTTGGAATAAATTATTTTGCATCTGTGCCATTGCGACTACACCACTGTAGAAAGTATTAAAGTGAAGAGAGTTGAATAAAATTCTATATCTATTGAGTATATTGCGGTACGCAAATACCAACGATCAAATCCATCGGTTATACCTAAATCCGTTCTTTGCCTCCTCGACAATAGAATATTGTGTTCGAATTGCCTTTTTTGAATGACACACTAAAATTATGTAGACGATCTATCGAACAATATAAGAGCAATAGAAATATACGTAAATAACTAAAGTCATATTTTATATTCCTATTCAACATGGTATGCCTTTTTCATGTCAGTGTACTAAATAACCTCTTTATTTGGAATGCTTGAGTGGAAATATTGTAAAATAAAATTTACCGTTCTTTATATTTGATTCAGTTATTAAGTGTTCGATGTCAAACGCTTAGTAAAAGCCAAACTTATTTATAGTTTAGCTACTAGGTAACTATCAGCTTCATAGCGATAGCTAAAGGTTGTACATATACGGTAAAGATAAAATAGTAGATTTTTGCATTTTTCCAAAGAGCCTCATTTTTATAAAACCAAATAAATTCGAATTTGAGTAAACACTTATGAACGAAGGCGGACTGTCTTTCGCGCGTTAGTATTCTTACACAGACTTTTTTTATTTGGTGAGCGCGCGGTTTACTCTGTGACTTGTTCAAAAAATATTCGTGATTGATCTCTTTGGTGATGGGAACTTTTACAAACAATATCCACATTCCTATTTCAAATCACTTTTAGTCCCTAGGGATCAAAAAGCTATTTAGTTTATAGATATTAGCGACATCAAAACGTGAATCAACACTGGGACCATTTGCAAAATCTTATTTTTATTATCATACTGTGTATAGGTATCCTACGTTTTGTATTTTCTTTGGAAAAATACTGATGGATTGATGTGACGAAGAAAGTGAATAATGAAGATAGAGGTTAAGGTTCAGGTGTTATACAATTAATAATTTCGTTAGCTCTATTGGTATAGGACTCGTCTAATTAGATAAATGTGTAAGCTGCTATTGTTCTGAGGGCGCGACTATGAATCTTGTAAGATGACACTTTGTGTCTGTTTGTAAAGGACATGCGTGTGTTAAGAGGCATAAAAGCATAAAATATATGCGAACAATTAATAAGGATCATAAATAATAACATTTGATTATATTATTTGAAAAGTAAACATAAAATAATATGAAAATACGCATGTGTAATATTTAGCAAAGTGGCACCGCTGTGGCATAGTGACAGCATTATATTTAGTTTATTATATTAATTTAAAGCATTCACCTGCTAGATTTATAGCCTGTAAAGAAAATGTTTAATAGCAAATTTCCACGCGGTCCAGGCAGCTATGGGACTCGAAGCGGATTGTGCTGGTTCGAGTACCGTTTAGTACCTATACATCCACATCCACACCTACAGTTAGATTAAATACAAAGCTAAAAAAATTGCATGCATTGTATTTAATCTAACTTAACTAATAATTGATGTATCTGCGTGCAGCAGTCGACGCGACGCCGGCGTTAGTTATGCCATCGCATCTCTTCCATGCGGGTGTGTGGCCAGTGTGTGGTCGTGGTTGGTTGTCATCGCTACGTTGACGGCAAATGTCGACCGTTGACCTGTTAACGGTTGCCGCCGAAAATGTGGTGGATCAGAATTAATAGCGGCCCACATACGTTATGCACTCCCCGAATTAAATAAATAAAATAAAAGAAGAAAAAAGTTAATTCTTATATAAACCAAAGCTACTCACGCTTTCAATAAGTAATGTATGTATTCTAACTTAAGTAATTAGCAAGGAGCTAGTGCCTATTATTATTATACAGCCGTTAGCCAATTTCTTCAATAATGAATGACGAAAATCGGTTGGGGAATAAAAAATAAAAAATATCAGGCAAACTACTAGTCGACAGGTTATCCATCAGTAATAACATTGCCTGTAAGCAAATTGACAGCAACATATACCGTCTAATGGTCAGGTTGCGGGACACCACAACCACACCCGCCTCTCGGCACGCGTTTTGGGGAACAACTCGGTCCGTGGAGTGCGTATTTGGTGACAGGCGCAGGAGTATTTGTTGTGGTTATATTGTCTGTGATTATAGTGGGTCAGGGGGAGATCTTCTCACTCTCACATATCCTCATCGAAACTCCCAGTCCCGAGGAAGGCAAGGCAAGGGAAGCACGGGAAGCGAGGAGAAGTCCTCACATATTCTTTTTCTACTCCCGTTGGCGAGCAAGGCAGCACGCCTTTCCCAGATATTTAAAAAAAGGCTTGTAGATTGTAGTCTTGCAATGCTTCTGGGGTGTAACAAAACCTGGGAGCCTATCTTCTTCCAGACTGAATCTTCACAGGGGGCTGTCAAAAATACCTATATTAAAAGCACGTCTCTTGAAATGCTCATGTAACAATTATTTTTTATTAAATATGTATAGCGGTTCCCTTGCAGAATTTACTCGCTGGCTGTGGGATTGGAGAATATTGGTTGTAGTTGTTGGTTTAAGTTGTAGTTCGAAATTAATTTAATGACAGGTTGCCAACCCATAGTCCATAAATTTAAAATAAGCAGTTGCAAATTGCCCATGCTTCACAAGCTTTAAAAATACTCACCCGCAATTACTACTCATTCTATTGTTCAGTGTTCAACATTTCCATATTTTACCATATGTGTTGTTCCCTATATGGTAAATGGCAATATTTATTTTACCATGTATACCCATTTACCATAAAATAAACTAAAAATAACTTTGTTCTTCATTCAACTAAACTTATTACCTAGACCCAACGTCATTTGTTGAAGAATGTATATCCTATAAGTAAATTGTTTCTTGTTGCTGCAGTATCACTGAGTAGTGAGCGGTGGACAGGTGCGCGCGGCCATTGTGAGTCGCTCAGTCGCCAGCTAATTGCTTCTCTTTCACGCTGCACCTAACAAGAAAACGCTGTTAACTACTCCCACCCCTCGCCCATTGTTCCTTAATTGAACTAGTTCCTTAATGTGATGCTTATTAAGGCTTCAGAGTCCTCCGACAATGGTAATTTATTAGCTGCGCACCGCGATTGAATCGTTGATGATGTTGTTGTCATTTGTCTGTGTTGTATTCTTTGCTGTTTTTGAAATTTGCGAAATATGATTTAACAAATTCCATACAATGTCTTAATTTTTTGTTCACACATATACATGTATAAAACATGTAGTGAATGAACAATACTTGTTAGATAAACAAAAAATATTAAGTAAATAAGTGATTTATACTTATCGGACTTGTTTCTTGGTGAAAACGAAGGGTTATATTGCGTTTCCACCTAGAGCTCAGAACAGGAGACTTACTGCGATCTCTCATTGCAAGACTGATTAGGTTCTTAATAATGGCTGCTTTCGATTTCGATTCATTCGAAATCTAGGTAAAATGTTTTAACTAAAAGGTGGTATCTGATTTGTGGAGCCACATTCCTTGTTACATTGAAATGTTATTGGAAACTAACCCTTAAAATAAGGCGTTAGCAACTGACATAGTACCACTTCTTCAACCACGTAAAAACTCATATTAGACCCACTATAGCCAACGGCTTGATCATTCATTCAATTGCAACTACGATGTAACAAACTCCTCAACCTAAACTAAATCGGAAAACAAAAAATACATAGAACAGAAGGTAATCTCATGTATATACTTAAATTTTCATACCTACGCTCGGCGGTCGCGACAGGAGTTTCTAATTTGGCTAGTGCACAAAATATAGTGGTAATGGCACTCCTACGTATCTGGTTGTTAGAAAAAAGATATTTATTAAAGTGTTATGATATATCCAAAGCGGAGATCTACAAACAGTTATAGTGTAGGGATATCGAGACCTTCGTTGACATGAAAGTAAAATAAAAAAGGACAGTTTTGTAACATAGTGTTTATTATTATTGTTTTTTGTAAACAATTTAACTTCCATCAATATTTCCGTAAAATCCTTGTAGCAACACCAACAACAACAACAAAAAAATACCAAATTCCGTAATCTTGGTATTTTTTTGTTGTTAAAAAAAATTGATCTGCCTTTTCAGTTGACCTGAAACAAAATGAGAATAATAAAAAGGAAAATTATGTACCTACTAGAGACGTTTTGAACTATTTAGAAAAAAAGGAGCTAATCGCAAATATTTTGTTTTAATATTAATTGCTATAAATAAAAGAAGTATACACCTATTCTGTGTAATTATTCCGATAATCTAATTGAACCATGGGCCGAGGAGGTTTAGTAAATAAGTCCTTTTAAGGCCTTTATTATCTTAAAAACAATGTTCGTACTTTAAGCGATTCCCATAAAGTTCGAATAAATTATTTTGCATTTGTGCTATTGCGACTATACCACTGTAGAAAGTGTTAAAGCAAAAGAGTTGGATTATACTATACCTCTCCATAGTAGACTCCGTTGAATAAAATTCTATTTCTATCGACTATGAAAAAGAGGAAAGGATGGTCGGCCACAAAGGTTTGCTTATCTGGAATAAAGAAACTTGCACCGACTCCAAAGAAACCTAAAAAAATATTAATTTAAAATATACTTATCAAAAGGGTCTAAGCAACATGCATATTTTACGCAAACTGCAACTTATCAAATTATTGATTGTTGTTTACAAAACAGTATGAGTATTAATAATATAAAAAATGACTCAAAAGTCCTGTGTTCATAGTGCTCGATTTAGCTATTATATTTATAAAGACGTAGTTACATAAACGCATTTATAAAAAAGTTTAAGAAAACATAATTTTCTTCAACCTGAGCCTCAGACTAAAATTTTCATAGTGTTTTAGTCAATCATCATCATCATCAGCCTATTAATGTCCCCACTGCTGGGGCACGGGCCTTCCCTGTGGATGGAATAATGCGAGTGAGCCGTGACCATCTAAGCGGGTCCATTGCGGATTAGTGCATGCTAACGACTGCTGATGCAGCGGAGACCAACGGCTTAACGTGTCTTCTGAAGCACGTAGGAGCTACAATCAGTTTTTGGTCACTTATCCAATGACAGACATTGCGAAAGTTACTTAATATCCATGATCGCAGGCTAAACGCGCAAACCACCTGCGTCATCTAGCTCATCATCTTAGCCAGTGCTACATATTATTTATTTCTGCGTACCGGATGCAGCGGCAGCCTCAGCTCCCTCCTCGTTTACTTCGATAAAAGCTTTTTGAATAGCATCAGTTATATAAATGTCATTGCCATTTTTCACTAGTTTTTCAAGCTTAGAGTTAGCAGGGTCAAACAGGCTCTTAACGCCAATCTGTAAGATGAAAATGTTATCGATTAGCTATTATTCTTCAGTAACATACTTTTAGTAAGTGTTAGTAATGGGAGAAAATTATAAGTAAAGGTGTGAATGTTATATATTAAAGGATTGCCACCTTTAATTAATAAATATAATAAATAAGCGTCGATGTAAAGATTGTCATTATCTCATTTATATTTAATATGAATAACGATGTTGATTTTTAGGTTTCGGTAAGTACTTAACGGAACAACAATAGACCTACTGGATTACTCTTTAGTTTTCTCATGTAAGAATTTTGTATTCTGTTTTGAGAAATAAATGTCTTAAACCATAAACCACAACCTTATTGCTATACCCCGCTAAAGGTTCGGTCATCTGCCTCATGAATACTATAATTTGTTTACAGAATTATCGATCTATGTATTCGTGTAGGAATTATTATAGCCACAATAACGATAAATAAAAAAATAAAATGGCAAACTAAAATTATTGAAGTTCCAGTGATGGTTGATGATTCTTTGCTAAGTTTTTATTTTCACTCTTTTTATATTTTGTATAGGGATATGGAACTCTTTACCTCACGACATTATTTTTAATCTTACCAAAGGGAAGTACGGGAGAAGTTTTTTCGTAAAAAAATCAAATTGATCATCAACACCCCAATACTAACGATAAATAATACAAACCTTATTGAGGACGCTTTTCAAACTAATCGTAGTTTCAATTTTGAATTTGGGCAAATAAAGATCCACTTCAGTTTGCACCAAGTTGCGTATATAATCAGTGAGTACGTCTGGCTTTTGCTTTAGCTTCTGTTCTAGGGCGGTAACACCATCAACTTGGTTCGGAAGGACAACAATGAAACTTGCAAAATCGTCCTCGTAAGGAATTTCTAGAAACTGGAAAACAATCAAAAATTATGATTTTATTTATTTTTTAAGCATTTAACTGCTAGATGTTTAAATCTAAAGAAAAGTTTACTAGAAATAAATCCACGCGGACCAGGCAGCGGACGGGACTCGAACCCGCATCCTTCGCTATCCGGGCGAATGCGACTGCGATGCAACGAATGTCAACTTTGGCTTATGCATAAAAAAACTATCTTAGTAGTGGTGTCATTGTATGAAGTTGCTTGATTTATTGTAGAGAATGAAACAGAAAGAACCTAAAACATAAACCAATAATAACTAAAATATTTCGATTTTAATTTAATTGCTATATTACAAATAAAAAATAACGATTATTCACCGTTTCATTAAGCTACCGTCTACGGAACAGATAAAATAACATTTTTGATGTTGCTCCTTTTCTGCACAAAAATGTTCATAGGCACCTGTCTCAAGCGGATGGAACTAGCGCTGCACTGATCCGAAGCGGTTCGAGATATCGTGTCCTTAAGCAGTGTCTATGTGTGCGTTGCTCGAGCGCAATCTGTATGTAGATTACCTTCTGTAATATCTATTTTGTGGTATAGTTGAGCTCGCTGCTAATTTCCCAACCGCAATAAAAAATCGCACTACACTGTTATTTTAATAAATCAATTGAATGTTTCAAAAACATTAAGTGTCTGAATTAATACCTTAGCATCAAACTCTTCGCTCGCCTTAAAACGGTACATGCTGTTCATAAACATAGTGGGAACTTTCACCATCTTGTCCTTTGAAATTTGGAAATCACGTTCTTGCGTCAACTTTGGATCGAATTTTTCACTTAACCTCCAGCCACCCTAGAATTACAAACACCCTATATTTATGTGGCAGGTGTATTCTACGATTAGCTGAATCAAATCTTGATTATCTGCATTAAAAATCAGAGCCACAATTTATTGTGGCAGGAGCGTCCGCTGCATTTTACAGAACATTTTTCCATATGGCTAGGTGTAATTTAATTTAGTGGGATATTAGTTCCTCCCTTTTGTACCAATTTTCAACAATCACGGCATTTACTGTCGCAACAACAACAATGGTGAAAAATACAGATTATTTATTCACTGAAAATACATAAGGTACTTTAAGAGCCTGTTCCACAATCTATAGGTAAAAATCTAAGTAGTAAGCTACTTCAAAGACTGTCTGAAAAATCACACGAGTATCACTTTCCCCGAAAGACGCTTCAATTTGAGCGGGAAATTCGCTGTACCCACCTTTTCTTTAACAATATTAACGAATCCTCATAATTTCATTGATACGAAGAATATAACACACCGACAAAAGAAAAAACGATTACTACACAAAGGCACTCTGATGGAGGAATATATAGTTTCCCATTTTTCGATGCGTAAAATGAGAATGTCCTTTACCTTGAAATAAATGGCGTTCACAATAATAGCCTTCGTATCGGAGCCTAAGCTCTTGGGGTCTATTAAATTTTTGATGCGATTGTTTGTATTGTCCTCCACCTGCAAACCAAATAAATAGCAGCGTATTATTACACTCCTAATTCAAGCGCCTTAATCTTTTGGATACCGATTATTTTATCATCTTATCTTTTTTTGAGAGATGGTCATCAGTATGAAGCGAAAATGTTAACTTTTTCAATATTACAGAGTTTTGAAGAGGAAGTTTTCTGCAATCTTAGTATATTATTATAGGTGGTTAATGAAAATTAGGTTAAAAAATATAGCTGAATACTTTTTTCTAACGTACGTACATTATTAATTCTTACTTAGCATAGCAACTATTCTTAGATTATAATGAGAGAACAAACTGTAGTTATTGACGTTGCAACAATCACAGTTTTGTTCATGTATACAAAACGTTTTCATTCTTAATATAGTAATATTATGTGCATTTTCATTCAGAAATATAGAAAAGCAAGAGGTTTCCAATGTATTTAGCTATGATTATCGCATTTATTGAGTTCAAAATTTAGACAATATTTTAATACCTTAGATGTTTCCAGATTTTCACTTACCCAAGTATTAATCTTAGAAGCAGCTTCATTGTTCTTAGTAAAGTCGACTTGTTTCACATCTGAATGGAACACATCCCTAGATACAGCATTGAATTCATCATTTAATTCATATCCTTCGGGTATGTAAACACTGTTTGCTATCTTCAGGTCGATTCCAGCTCTCGATTTTAATTGTCCGTTTGCAAATTCAAACACTGCCTTTGTCTGTAACAAACACATTACTTTTCAATTAAACTTCATGGATTTTTTTTGTTATAGAAATCTTGGGCTTTATTAATAAAGCGAGCGTAAGCTTTATTTTTTTTGTCTCTGTTAATCGAATACCAAAATGATATTTGATTTGATCGAATTAAAAAAAAAACACAGCTTTTATTTTTTCTATTTCTACATTTATCAATAAAAAATACTGTAATTTACCTTGATTCAAGTCTTGGGGTCACTTGAACGAACATTATCAATTCAATTTAATAGATGATTTCATCTAAACACATTGTTTAAAGTTAAATTAAATATGATAAGCTTTTAAATTTGATTCAAGAACTTCGGTACAAGTGGGCCTCTGTCTTCATTCTCACCTTAAATTATCTTTGTCTGTGATTTTTTTGTGACTTTTGATTCAAACACATACTTACAGTATTTTCGTTGCGCAGACCCAAGACATTGAGGATCTCGTCGTGAGATGATCCGACGGAGGCTAACCCAAGCTGTGCCAGAGGCGCCATTACAGAGAATCCGGACATGACAACGCTTTTACCCGGGTTTTCTTTTGCTACTTCCTGTAAAATGCGTGTAGAATTTTTGATTGCAATATTGTAAAGCTTGCTATATTCATTCGTATTATTTATTAAATAATCGATCATCATTTATATAAACGTCAATATATTTTAATATGGTATATATAATAATATTAACTGTGCCAGTCTGTCACCTGTATTAAGATTTTCTACCCTGAGGTCGTTTTTTTTAATACGCAGGCAAAACCTCTACTTACAGACGTTAACGCCCTTAAGGGGCACACCAACAAACGGACCTCACACCTAGCCTCTCGCAAATCTAACGGGTGTGAAACGGAAAATACGTTAAGCAATCCGCGCTGCTTACGAGCGCTTGCGGTATACTATCCGCTAAAAAACCCTTTAAACTGTTAAGTGCGAGATCCCCATTAAGGGCTTCATCAAGAACGGACCTCACACCTAACCTCTCGCAAGTCTCACGGGTGCGAAACGCAAAAGCCGTTAAGTAGTCCGCGCGGTTTACTAGCACTTGCGGTATACTATCCGCTAAAAAACCCTGCGAATACCCTCAATACTATTAAGTGCGGAACCGCGAGATCCCCCTTGAGGGACTTCACTGCCTGGGTTCAAATATCGAATGGGACAATATTATATTTATATGATAAAGTGAGCGAGTACTTTTTCTGAGTCATGGCTGTATATTTATATTTGTATTTCTGCGGAAATAAACTTGTCTGTGTATCATTATATGTTTTTCTAACCTTTACACTAGTATACTTAATACAAGCTTTACCGTGCTTTCGTTTGTCTAGCCTAATTGGTGTGAGTGAATTTTTTTTTTTTTATATAATTTACTAGCAGTCGCCCGGGACTTCGTCCGCGTTACCTTTAGTGTTTTGAAATTCCCTTAGGATCCTAACACTTTTCCGGGTTAAAAAGTATCCTATGTCTCAATCCAAATCATAAACTATATGCATATCGAATATCATCCAAATCCGTGCAGTAGTTTTTGAGTAATTGAATAACAAACATACAAACTTTCACTATCATAATATTATAAGGATTTTCCATTCGGTCATCGGGAAAGCTGCCTAACTCCTTAACAACATTAAAAAAATTATGTACCAATAGTTAGTCTGTAAATATCAGCTGTTTTCGAGGGACTTAATTATTTAAGTATGTTTATATAGGTATAGTTACACATATATATAGTTCACGCGTTAGGAAAAAAAATAACTCGAGAAGATTACATCATAGATCATCAACACCATCAGCCTATTAATGTCCCCGCAGCTGGGGCACAGGTTTTACTATGGATGGAATAGGGAGATGGAGAAGACAGATAGTAGAATAAGGATTGTGTGGTGGTCCGACGAGCTCGAGAGAATGAAGAAAGAGAAGAACAAACGAAAAAGAAGAATAAAATGGGCAGCACCGAGTCGCAAAACATGGGTAGTCGAGCAATACATGGACGCAAAAGAAAAGTACGAAAGGGAGATGAATGCAGCCAGGGTAAAGAGTTGGAAGGAATTCTGTCAAAAACAAGACCGGGAAACAATGTGGGAGGGCATATACAGGGTGATAGGCAGAACCAGAACACAAGGCGAAGATCTGCCAATCGCGAGAGGGGGCATCACCACCAGCCCCAAACAGTCGGTGCGCATAATGGCTGAGACTTTCTACCCGGACGACACCGAAGTAGGGGAAAGCGAAGTCCACAGGGCAGTGCGGATCAGCGCGGCGGAAGCAAATGAGGGAGACGAACATGATGTTCATGACCCCCCATTTGTGGAAGCCGAACTGGTGCACGCCGTGGACTCGTTTAACCCGAAAAGGGCACCGGGTGGAGATGGTTTCACGGCCGATATATGCGCGGCGACTGTTAAAGCAGACAGTGAACTAGCTCTCGCGATGCTCAATAAATGCCTAGCCCTGGCCCACTTCCCGAAAGCATGGAAGAAAGCAGCAGTAATCATGCTAAGAAATCCCGGCAAAGACAACTATCAGGAGCCCAAGTCATACAGACCGATCGGGTTGCTGCCAGTTTTAGGAAAAATTTTAGAAAAGATGCTGGTGCGTCGTTTAAAATGGCATATACTGCCTAAACTTAATCCGAGGCAGTATGGATTCGTGCCGCAGCGCAGTACAGAGGACTCCCTCTATGATATGATACAGCGAATCAGAGATAAATTGGTTAAAAAGAGAATAGTGGCCCTGATATCGCTGGACATAGAGGGGGCCTTTGATAACGCGTGGTGGCCGCGAATCCGCTGCCAACTTAAAAATTTAAAGTGCCCTATAAACTTACGCAGACTAGTAGATAGCTATCTCCAAGATAGGATGGTGTCGGTGAGATACGCGGGGGAGGAGTACAGCAAGATAACCAACAAAGGTTGTGTACAGGGGTCCATAGGAGGCCCCTTATTCTGGAACATCTTGCTGGATCCACTCCTGAACGGGCTCACCGACGCCGATATATATTGCCAAGCATTCGCTGACGACATCATTTTGATAGTGGATGGAGGAGACCCAAAGTCGCTAGAGGAAAAGGCCAATGCAGGACTCTCCCTGGTCAGGAGATGGGGCGCGTCAAACAAATTAAACTTCGCGGCGCATAAGACCAAAGCCATGGTTATCACCAAAAAATTAAAATTTGACGCGCCGATACTGACCATGGGGGGGGGGGTACAAATAGAACTAGTCAACGAAATAAAAATCCTCGGCCTAAAAATCGACAACAAATTAACCTTTAACGAGCACATTAAGTACGTCTGCGGCAAAGCTATCAATATTTTTAAAGGTATCCAAAGAGCCGCAAAGACGACTTGGGGTCTCCAACCAGAGATTATACGAACAATTTATATAGCGGTCATAGAACCAATCATCCTCTACGCGGCGAGTGTTTGGCAGGGAGAAGCTAAGAAAATAATGACCAAAAAGAAATTCTCGGTGGTGCAGAGGGGGTTCGCCCAAAAAATTACCAAATGTTATAGGACGGTGTCGCTCAACTCCGCCTTAATATTGTCGGGGCTGCTTCCGCTGGACCTAAGGGTCCATGAAGCATCCCAGCTTTATGAGGCGAAGCGAGGGAAACCCCAGGCAATATTAAGGGGGAGAAAGGTGGAGAAAAGGGTATCCTTCATGAATTCGGACCACCCCGGTAGCAGCAGAATGATAGGTTTCGAATGTCTGGAAAACGAGGAGGAGGATAGCAAACTGGCAGAAGGTCTTGTGAAGATCTATACAGATGGCAGCAAACTGGAGGGAAAGGTAGGAGCCGCCCTGACCTGTTGGAAAGGGCAGGCAGAAGTCCTTTCCCGAAAGTTTAAGCTGGAGCCATACTGTACAGTCTTCCAAGCCGAGCTGTATGCTATCCTCCAAGCCACGGAGTGTGTATTAGGGAAAGGATGGAAGGAGGCGGCCGTGCTCAGCGATTCGAGGTCCTCCCTCCAATCGCTAGCTGATCCAGACTCCTCGCATCCGATCACCAAGGCGATTCAGGGCAACCTGGCCCAACTCAGGGACAACGGACAAACCGTGTCCCTGTTTTGGATCAGGGCCCACGTCGGGGTGATCGGAAACGAGAGAGCGGATCAGCTGGCGAAGGGGGCGGCCCTCGGGTTGAAATGCAAATCACACTATGACTGCTGTCCCATCCCACACCCACAACGCGGGCCCAGTGCGGGTTGGTGGGTGCTAACGACTGCAGATGCAGCCGGGACCAACGGCTTAACGTGCCTTGCGAAGCACGGAGGAGCTCGAGATAGTAAATTTTCGGTCATCCATCCAATGACCGACCACTGCGAAAGTTGCTTAAATTCAACGATCGCAGCGGAACGCGCTAACCACTTGCGCCATCGAGCTCCTCATCGCCACATCATAGATATTACCAAGTTTTTTTTTTCAATAAATCTAATAGATATCGTCGGTATGTACTATTAGTCCAGTCGGAATAAACATGAGACCTATTCTAAGACACCAGCGCTTAGCCAATTTTTTCCTAGATAGTATAGACCCCCACGAATATGCCCCCCATTTGTCCCCGCTAGAACTCGTGTTTTGTAGCCAGGAAAATTGTTTAAACAAAGAAAAACCGGTTTTTTTGAGTTTTTTTGCTTGTAAACGGGGATTTTAAAAATTTTTTTGAATCAAAGTGGTTCATTAGCTTGCCCTCTACAAAATCAGTTCTATGAAAAAATAACGTGAGATTGTTAGTTTAGCAATAATTGTAAATTGCAATTATGTCGGTTTTACGTTTGCAACAATTCAACATGTTATAATAAACATTTTGATTTCTAAAGTAGTTTATCATGTGGGTAACGCCACTCCCAAGAGAGTCATGTAAAATTTATCGACCTGTGTCGCAAACTTTAGCAACAATTCTCAATCTCCGAAAAAAAAGTACTTGCCTGTCCCGTCTTTCCCAGAAGGCGCACAGCGGGGAAAAAAATTCAGGTGATTCGATTCACCAAGAATTTTGAGGAATCGATCGAGAAGAAAAAAATCGTTAATAAAAATGTTCGTTTTTGGACGATTTAAATTTTTTTAAAAAATTGACGTAGAATTTTTTTTTAAACTAATGTATTTTTCTCTCCTTTGATTCAAAAAAATTTTCAAAATCCCCGTTTACAAGCAAAAAAACTCAAAAAAACCGGTTTTTCTTTGTTTAAACAATTTTCCTGGCTACAAAACACGGGTTCTAGCGGGGACAAATGGAGGGCATATTCGTGGGGGTCTATACTACCTAGGAAAAAATTGGCTAAGCGCTGGTGTCTTAGAATAGAAGTCGGTCCAAATTATGGCTATTCCGACTGGACTATATAAACACTAAACACTACACTTATATTTAAACGATAGTTCATTATATCATTTCAAGGATACGCTACTAGTATTATTTCTGTTACTATGGGTGTTTTTTAGGGTTCAAACCCTAAGAATAAAAACGGGACCCTATTACTAAGACTCCACTGTTCATCTGTCTGTCTGCCACCGGGCTGTATATCATAAACCGTGATACCTAGACAGTTGAAATTTTCATAGGTGATGTATTTCTGTTATACAACAAACGTGTGTTTTTTTGCAATTTCCACTCTATATGAATAACGGCAACAGGTAGACTTTTTAAATATTCTAAAAATATTCAGTTGTATATAATCTTTAAAAATGTATCATCATCATCAGCCTATTAATGTCCCCACTGCTGGGGCACAGGCCTTCCCTATGGATGGATTAGGGAGATTGGGCCATGACCCACCCACACCCATGTTGGTGGGTGCTAACGACTGCAGATGCAGCAGGGACCAACGGCTTAACGTGCCTTCCGAAGCACGGAAGAGTTCGAGATAGTAAATTTTCGGTTACCCATCCAATGACCGACCACTGCGAAAGTTGCTCAACTTCAACGACCGCAGCCGAACGTGCTAACCACTGGCGCCATCGAGCTTCTCAACAAAAAATGTATAGTATGTTGTACATAATATTTAATAATTAAATAAAAAAAAACTAAATATTAGAGGGCGCTTTTTGCTCAATATGATAATATAATGTCTAATGTTGTATGGATTATAGTACGGAACCCTTCGTGCGCGTTTCCCATTCGCACTTAACTATTTTTTTTTCACCTCGATTTGCCGGTTAAACTTGTTCTCAATCAGTCAAAACAAAACTGGTACTCATCATTTTTTGCTGATTGTGTGTTCAACGATACTTATTATACCAATATTCACAAAAACATTAAAGAAAAAAAACTAATTTAAACTATTGTCAAATTCTAGTACCTATTCAAATAATGATGACGACCTCCGTGGCCGAGTAGTTTGTACGCCGGGTTTCATGGTGTCGCCGTCTCGAGAGGTCCCGGGTTCGAATCCCAGTGGGGGCAGGTGTTTGTGTGATGATTACGAGCATTTGTACTCCAGTCATGGACGTTTAACGGACGGGAAATGGCGAGTGCCTCTAGACGTATTCCAGGCGAATGGCATCTCCCCTGGGGGGAGTCACCTCTCCATCTGGAGCCTCTAGACCACTCGAATCTGAGGGGGTCGGCTCAACTAGAGGGCGTCTCTGAGACTCTGACCTCGGCTCTAGTTAGCCGTTGTCGTGGGGGGCGGGGATAAACGCCCAGGTACGTACCTGTTCCTGGAATAGCGTGTCGTGTGTAGACCGGTTCTTCACACTCTTATCCTACGGGTGCGGTGTACTGCCTAATGATAAGCTAGTGTGCAAGTTTGCTAGCTGTGTAGTGTTGGCGTTTGTGGCCTGTAAGGAAGCGCGTTGGCGCGGGTGATTTCGTCGTTGGGGTACTCTAAGACGTCCTCACGCCGCCGACGGAATCGGAGGGACTTACGATTGAAGGACGGGAGGGCGGACGTGTGCGGACTAGAGGTCGTGATAGAGTGGATGCAAGTTTTCTAAATAGTCGACTTATGCCTAAGTGACAATTTACTACGCTTCCCTATGAGATGAGGTGCAAACGTTAATCGGTTGTCTAACGTGACTACCAAGTACTTGACCCGGTCCTCCCAGGGCATGACCTGCTCAAATAGTTGGATGCTCGGAAGGGAATACAGGTGTTGCCTACAAACATATTTACCTATATAAGAGTTTTGTGAGTTAATAATACAGTAAAGATACTGAAGTAGAAAACATAATTGGTCATCATATGAATTACGTAGAACTTACCTCAAACAAATTCACGGTGAACTGTGTACTTGCCACGAGGAGGTCATTTTCCGTTTCGTAAGGGTAAGTATTTTCCGCCATGACCATGGCAAAACCGGCTAAGACTGTAATAGGTTTGAATTTCATGTTAAATAGGTATGAATTTCTTTATGACTATAGAACAAGGGATATCCGTTTTAATCTTATGTTTCTCCCATACCTGCGTCTATCGCCACGAAGTTTCGTCTATGAATGCAATAAACGCAGGTAGGGAAGTCATTAGCAGCTTTCGTAACGAACTATCGGGCTACATGAGCATGGACGCTAGATAATAGCTTGACTAAAGGTTTTTGAAACACAACAAAATTTGTGGGTGCAGGTGAAAGACCGTTTAGCGCAGAAAATTTAGACGCTTATCTTAGCGCAATAAATAGCCAAAAATTCATCACGTAGATGTGGGATATCAATGCGACGCAGCTTTGTTTTAGTATTTTTGATACTTCTTCGTCATATTGATCAATTCAATAATACAAACCGAGTGTCAGATTTGACTATTTAATTTATAAACTTATTAAAAAAATTTGCTCATACTCAACATTATTTACTTTATACGTGTTTCAAATGCTTCTCCCGCACTTGTACGACGAAGCTTGGTACTAAATGCTCTTAAATTAGCGTTCGTGCCATCGTAAGTACGCTGCTTCAGCTATTGTCTAGCGTCTATAGATACGCAGCCCGATAATTTCATTACTATAGAACTAAATTCAAATGTCGAATTTAAAACATGTATAAAGTCCCTAAATAATCTGAGTATGAGCAAATTTTTTTATAGGTTTATAAATTAAACAGTCAAATCTGAAATTCGATTCGTATTATTGAATTGATCAATATGACGAAGAATTATCAAAAATACTAAAACAAAGTACCCACCTGACACAAGAAAGTAAGGCAAAATTGTTTCAGTTAATAATACACTGTTTTTTGATGATGTAGTATGAGAGAACGGAACTTTTGTATGACCTATAAGCACTAACGAAGAAGATGCAACTAGACAATTGCCAAAATGAGTGTACTTATTTTATTTAGCTTAGAGATATTGGTTACCTGCAATTATTTATTTCATGGCTACCTTCAAATAATTCTTGAGAGACAAGATTCGCTTTAGTTACATAAAAAAACTAAGATTAACTAGATTCTAATCGTATTTAGAAATGAGGTAATATATACAATTTTTAAATAACCTCTGTACAGACTATAAATGTATTTTATTTTAAAATTATGTTATTTAAAAATTAGGGTACTTTAAAGTACTATATAAATAATTGAAAAAAAATTAACAGTGACTTATTTCGTATGTAAATCGAAATTGTAAAAAAGGATATGACATCAATGTTGTTTTACTTGTTTTAAATATATCAACAAACAACAAACGTGAGCCAAGTTAAACAAAAAAACATACACAATGAAAGTTATAATTAATATGTCTAAGACACAGTATTTGTGTTGATGCAATCTCGATAAAACCAGCTCAATATTAAAATGACACAGAAATAAAAAAAAGTCTGGTTTTATGAAACCACTATACAAGTGAAACTTTGAAAATCATAAACAAGTCCTGCCTCCTCTGGGAATCGAACCCGGGCCGCCCGTGTAGCAAGCGGTCTTTCTACCACTCTACCACTGAAGCACCGATTCTTATTTATAAGGTCTGTTTTTTTCAATAACAATTAGATATGTTATGCGACATACTAAAGATGTACGAAAAAAATTATAGTGCAGTCATTGAAG